GCTGGGATTACAAGCGTGCACCTCCACGCCTGCTTTTGGTGGCTGGCACCGCGTGTGGTTCTGGAGCGATCTCCCCAGCCCACGTGATAATCACATGAGTGCTAAGACATCAGCACTGCCTCAGCCTAAACTCAGTGAGGTTATCGTAGTGCTCTATCCAGATCACCGACCCTCCCTCACGGTCTTATCGTGTATTTGGTACTTACCACGATGTGGGCAGTTCTGCAGCTTGGTAATGCAAAAATATTTTCCCACCTTCAAAAGTGCTCGTGATCCTTAAGACGAAGATATTAGCAGAAGTGGTTGTGATGTGGTATTGGTAGATGTGGTATTGGTAGATAGGTGGCGGCTAACACCCCCTTCTGTAACTTTCTTTGTGTCTGTCCATCCCTTTCATATTCTCCTCTTACCCAGATTCTACAATTAATTGCTTATATTTTGTGGGGTAAAGAAATTTGTCTGGTGTGAACTAAGGAAAAGGGACCTTAAAAATGAACTTTGAGGTCTATGCTAGACACTGTCCTAAGTGATTTACATATTAATTCATTTAATGAACTTAATATTGATAGGTTTTTTCAGCTATACAGGGTAGAGCTCAGAGCAGAGTCCCAGGGTTCAGCATCTGCTCAAGTTCATAAAGATAGCAAACCATAGTTTTGTTTTTTTGAATCAGGTTCTTGGGGCGTAACTTACCCAGGCTGACCTGCAGCTCCTGGGCCCCGGTGGACTGCCCAGCCCCCCGCAGCTGAGGCTAGATTGCTCTGACTAGACAGATGCGCAGCCTGTCTTGAAGCTGTTTTAGATGTTACTTTTTTATAAGATATCTTATACTAAAGCTTCTCTTGATAATCTTTTTTTTTTTTTAATTAATTTCAGGGAAGGGTCTACAGGGTGTTCAGGATCTCACTACTAGATTGGACTGTAGTGATCTGCCTGTTTACAGCCTCCCAAGTGCTGGGCTTACAGGCACTTGTCACCACACCCAGTCCCAGTTGCCCTCTCAGCATGCCCTGGGGGTGGGGCCGGCACAGCAGGCCTAGGGATTGAACCCTGGCCCCTGTGCCTGCTTACAGGTGCTTTAATCCACTGGGCTATTTGGCCGGCCCAATTTGGTCATCTTGAGAGGAGTCCTCCATACTCAGTTAAGATGATAGTGCAGAGAGAATTTAATATTTTTTTAAATTTTGTATCACTTATTGTACTTTGCTGTGATAGTGCCTTCTGAGGCGGTTGCATTTTATAGGCTCTCAGTGACTATAACATTGTTTCACACTTTTTCCCCGTTACGGTACTGAGGGTTGGACCTATTACCCTACTGAGGGTTGAACGTAGGGCTTCTTGCGTGCTGGGCAAGCACTGTACCAGAGTCGTATCTCTAGCTCCTCTTAACTTCCAGTTTTTTATGATTAGTATTTTGCAATTCTTTAAATATCTTTGGTGATGGTGTTTAGTGGTCATGACTTTCTTTAGCACCTGCTTATTTTTTTTTTGTGTGTGTGTAACCAGAGATTGAACTCAGGCCCTTGTACTTGCCAGGGAAGCGCTTATTCCACTGAGCCATTTCCCCGGCCCTCTCTAGCTCCTCTTAAAGTTTTTAAGAGACAAGAACTTGCCAAGTTGCCCAGGCACGTCCTGAACTTGCAGTGTTCCTGCCCCAACCTCCCAAAGAACTAGGCCACTTTCATGTTGTAGTTTTGTTTTTCTTTCGCTTTTGCTTCCAGTTGTGGCTTTTGCTATTGGTTTCTTTCACTTAATTTGCTTCTGTTCATGAGTAGTATGCAGTAACATAAAATTTAAAACATGGAAGAAATGAAATAGATTATAGGAGCAGTATGATACTGTTTTAAAAATAGGTATTTTAAGTTCACATTCTGATCTTACCCACTGAATATTCTTAGCAGCCTATTTATCCTCCCTGAGCCTCTGTTTCTGTATCCATAACATGAGGACAGTAGTATTTCGCAGAATTACTCTGTTACTCTTCTCTTTTTTTTTTTTTTTTCTTTTTTACTAATTTTATTGAGAAACAAATAGCAATCAGACAGCCTCAAAACCGAGTAGTGGGACAGCTTCAGTAATCAACACACTGCACATCGTTGTCTCTGTAGCAGTCATCCATAGTACAAGACGCAGACGTGATATCCTGTCCAAACACCACTAGTACAAATCTTTCTTCTCACCGAACCAAAATAAAGCAACCGCACATCCATCCCATTCTGTATACAGAGATACAAAAATGGTCCCCCATTCTTCTCCCCCTCCCCGTCCAGCCCTATCACAGATGGGCACTCCATTGCCATTCAAACATTGTAGGTTCGTGAATCCAGCAAAACAGTCCAACATAGTCCAGCAGTCCACAACAGCAGTGGGCCATTCACTGCACTGGCAATGCCAGAAGTCGTCGAGTCGAGCCCCCCACAGCTCAGCATATTAATATGGCTTTACTTTTTTATACTTCGTGTTTATACTTCTGTGCTGGATGGTTAAGACCAAGATAAAGCAAGACCTATATAACAAGAAATATAACTTTTGTTTCGACAAGGTCAGTCAAATCCCCTCAGGATTTACCCTGAAACCCTGTACCACAGTTTGCAGATCCTTTGTCAGTGTCAGCCCTGTGGATGAGTCACGGCCGTTGCTTGACCAGTTTTTTCTCTGTGAAAGCCTGAGAGAATGTTCTCTCTCCATGTGACTCTCCTTAGGCACACTCTACATCATCAATCACATTCCTCTGTGGCTCCATAATCTCCTTGATCAGAAAATTTGGGACACATCAGTTACTCTTCTTTTGTTACTGGGACAAAATACCTGACACCCAAAAGTAAGGAAGGAAAGATTTATGCAGCTCACAGTTAGTGGAGGTTTCAGTCCATACTCTGCTGGCTCTAAGGCAGAGCGGCACATGGCAGAGGGCAGCAGTTCATGGCGGTGGAAGACAGCAAAGAGGGGGGGGGGCAGCTGTGCTTCTAGCAAGCCTTCCCCCCCCCCCGCTTTGCATTGTAATGCAGATTACCCACCCCAGGGTGAGCATAGCACTCACAGCCATACTCCCCACGTTGGATCATGAATTAACCACAAACTCTAGAGGCCACCCCATTGACTACATGAGGCTTCGGGGGGACACCTAGATGCAAGCCATAACAATTAGTATTAAATAACATGTGTAGTTAATGCGAGAGACAGTACCCAACATATAGCAATTATGCAAATAAAATTATTTCCTTTTCTCTTTATTATATCGGTCTCCTTGTTAATATGAGAAATTCAGGCAAATAAAAGAAAGCTTTTCTTATGATGTAATTAAAATGTAGCCAGTTCTAAGTCTGTCATAATTTGCAGTTGTTATAAGTGTTCATCTTAGAATTATTCTGAATTTCCATTTTAGGTCCTTATGCTGAGCTCTCAGCAACCTTCCTCCTTCTCTGGATTAAATTAGGTTGCCCTTTGCTCCTGTGTGGTGCTCTTGATTTTCCTCAGTTGCTTTTAAAGGAAGAATGTCCTTTGGCCTCTTTCTAAAGAACTTGTGCCAGACAACCCTTCTTCCCAGGGGACAGTGAACTGGGTTTCTTGGCCAATAGCAGTGATTTCAAAGACTTCCTCCTTTCCTCAGTTCTGCTTTCTTTAGTTATCACCAGTCTTGAATATCAGTTTTTCTTTCCACTTCTATTCCCCTCAACTTTTCTAGAACCTGTCCCTACCAGATTTGTGGCTCTCATTATCTCTGCCGTTTTACAGGGTTCTGTTTTTACTTATATGTGCGTATGGATTATTTTTTTCTAATCCTTAAATTTTTCAAAGTACATTTCATTTAAGTTTAATTGATATTAGAGATATTCTGAATAACATATGTGCAACAATGATCTTTTTACAATGTTCCTTACAGATCCTTGTTGTGCCGCAGACACACAGTGGCTACTAGCAACTGCAGAGGCCTCCACAGAAAGGCCCACCAGTGGAACAGAGCGGTGGACGCAGCAGACTGCAGGGGCTGGTGAGTTAGCTGGCTCATGTGTCTCAGAGGGCAGCTGTGCAGTAACCGTCTTGGAAAGGGCCAACTAAGCTCAAGATTTATTTTATTTTTGACCTGTGATTTTGTTTTTATCTTGAGTCCTATGGTTATGTAATTTGCAAATTTGTACTGATACCTTCCTTCTCCACTTTAATCCTAATGAATTGACAGAGAGCACCAATCCCAATCACACATGCAATAGAAATTTTACAGTTTTGTGTTTTTAAATAGCTGTTCAGCAACTATTCTGAATTATATCTTAGTCTAACTTAGGAAGGGCCAGCCGATTGCTCAGCGGATTAAAGCGCCTGCAAGCAGGCGCAGGGGCCAGGGGTTCAATCCCCGGGCCTGCCGTGCCAGCCCCGACCCCAGGGCATGCTGAAACTGAGATTGAGACTGAGCGTGGTGGTGTGCACCTGTAACCCCAGGTCTTGGGAGGCTGTAAACAGGCAGATCACTAGGAGTCCAATCTAGTAGTGAGACCCTGAACACCCTGTAGACCCTTCCCTAAAATATAAAAAAACTTAGTAAGGCATTCATAGGTCTAATTAGCTACTGTGTCATGCTTTTGAAAGCATCTGAAATTACAGATCATTTCTAAAATATAACATGTTGAATATTGTATTTGATATACAAATATCATAGTAAAATGCCTTTGAGTAAGTACATTAAAAGGTAGCATGTTAGATACAGAAATTCTAATTAAAGTGGCAGGGTCAAGACCGGAAGTAGATTATGGGGTTATTGTTTGTCTTCAGCCGTCGCCTTTTACAGGCTGATGCGCACAGTGTGAAACACAAGAGAGCCTTGCTTCGGAGGCAGTGACCGACCTCCCGAGCACTTAACTAGACTCACATAGCTAGTTACGTAAATCAGTCTTCGGGAGGTTCTGATGTGCTTTTCTCATCTCCAAATATTCTAGCTCAAGCCACCAAATTGCTCCAAAAAAAAAATCACCAAAGCATGGCTTACATAAAATTAGCCATCTTACGAATGTCATTTAATGACCCCAACTTGCTTTTCCCAGCAGGAACTCCTGCACTGTCTGCAGTGTGGTAGGAGAGCAATCCTGCACTCCTTTCCAGTTTTGGTTTCCTGATCCCTTATTGTGTGGTTACTTTTCCACTGTTGCTGAGACAAAATACCTGAAGCCCAGAATTAAGGAAGGAAAGGTCAGTTTGTGGAGGTTTCAGTCCATACTTGGCTGGCTCCAGGGTAGAGTGGCACATGGCAGAAGGCAGCAGCTTGTAGTGGAAAACAGTAAAAGCAACAAGAGCGAATAGGGAGAAGCAGCAAGCGCATGCCTGTTTCCCTCTTACCAGTGTGCAGGTTACCTGTCCCGGGCAGATGTAGCACTTACACCCATAATCCCAGCATTGGACCATGAGTCGGTCACACACTCTAGAAATCACTCCATGACTGCATGAGGCTTTGGGGAGACATCTAGACAGAAAGTGTAACACTTGTGCTGGGTCGTATGGCAATGTTCCTGGCTCTGTGAGGTCACTTACAAGTACCTCCGCTTTTTTTTTTTTTTTCCTCAATTTTTTTTAGGGAAGAGTCTACAGGGTGTTCAGGGTCTAGCTACTAGATCAGACTCATAGTGATCTACCTGCTTACAGCCTCCCAAGAGCCGGGATTACTGGCGCGCGCCGCCATGCCCAGTTTCAGTTGCCGGCTCAGCGCACCCTGGGGGCGGGGCTGGCACGGCAGGCCTGGGATTGAACCCTGGGCCCCTGCCCCTGCTTGCAGGCACTTCAGTCTACTGAGCTATTTGGCTGGCCCCTACCTCCGCTTTTGTTTATGGTCTCGGGTACGTGTTCTAGATGTCCTGGTTTCTCCTGAAGTACTCAGGGCTCTGTAGCTGGGGTCACCTGTTGGACAATGCCTTTTTCTTTTTTTTTTAAATGTATTTAGTACAGGGTCTTACTACGCTGCTGGGACCCATAGTGATCCTCCTGTTTTCAGCCTCCCCAGTGCTGGGGTTACAGGCGTGCACCACCATGCCTTGTCTCAGGTGGCCAGCTCAGTGCCCCTAGGGGAGAGGCCAACATGGCATGTAATGCTAGAAATGAAGCCTTTTTCTTAGAAAATTGACTTTTACCCTATTCCTAATAGGGAGTTTGGCTCTTCTCTCTGAGGTAATGGCTCTGTTTTAATCTCTTCTGATGAACATTGCACATTAATTCCAAGGCTTGCCAAACCTCTAGGAATGGTACTAAATTCCTTGCCTCCCCCATGAGATGTCAAGGTGCTTCTGCACATTGTAGGTTCGTGCCTCATCACGTGTATATCCTGACTACTCCGTATTCACCTAAAAGTTAATCATAACGAAGCTTGGTGAGTCCTAGCCCTCTGTGAATGCCCACAGTTTCCTGAACGTCACAGCGCACTGTGCCCCTGTGCACAGCGCCCTTAGCATGTAGAGGTGAGGCACCGTCCACCCTGGAGCGGACCTTAGTACCAGCGGGACGTCAGTCATGGGGTCAGCGGCAGAGGCAAGCTGAATGGTGAGCCTAAGTGTGTGGACCTTCGAGAAGGAGACGTAGTGGCCAGGAGGGCTCAGGAGTTAAAAGCCTGAGTGGTCTGTACGCCATGCAGCGGCTGCAGGGAGAAGTACCCTCTCGGTTGTTGAGGGGTGTGTGTGTGCGTGCACGCGCGTGTGCACCCCACTCAGGGAAGTAGGGGGCAGCCAGGTGACTTGAATTTGGGGTGCCTGTGAGGCCCTCAAGAGGCTGCCTGATCGAAGCAGCAACTGCAAGCGTTCTTAGTGTAAGTAGAAGGACCTGGCAGCCCGAACTAGAGTAGCCTGCAGGGAGAGGCAGTAGTCAGAACAGGGCCAAGGTGACTGCACCAGCGAAGGCAGGACCCCGGGAAAGAGGAATGGAAGAGAGGTGCTGCAGCCTCCTGTCGGGGGCCGGCTCCAGAGGCAGCTCTCTGAAGCCTTGTTTCTCCTGATGTTTCCATAGAGAAAAGGTCTTGAGTTTAAAAAAAACAAAACAAAACTGGCCTTAACCCCAGTTTCAGTTTGTTAATAGGATCTTTGGTTAGAAGCTGTGGCATTGGAGAGAGTATATAACTATAGTCCCAGGCCTTCCCAGGTGTTGTGGCACACATCACTATCCCAGCTACGCAGAAAGCGGAGGCTTGGGGCTGGGGAGGTAGCTCAGTAGAATGGCTGTCTGCCTTGCAAGTGCAGGGTCCTGAGTTTGATCCCTGGTACCACCAAAAAAAAAAAGAAAAGAAAGAAAGGTGAGACAGGCAGATTCTAGGCCAGCCTAGGCAATTTAGCAAAACCCTTTCTCAAAAATAAGTAGAAATATAATTTTATCTTTAAATGATTTTTTCTTTTGATTTAAGTTTGTTTTATAATTAGTATTTAGGCCTTTTAGGGGGACGGGTCCTGTTGGGAGTAGAGCCCAGGGCCTTGAATATGCTGTGCTGATGCCCTGCCGCTGAGCTCCATCCTTATCCTCAGCCCCTGAAATTCTTTTAATAGACTGTTCTCTAATTCTTGTTTTGTTCTTTTCACCAAAGCACATTTTGCTGTGACCTGGGTGTGGTGTGCATAGTTCAAAAGTCAGAAGCAGTATTTCTGGTTTTTCTCACGCAGCATTGAAATACAACAAAAGATTAATTTTTTTTAATTCAACAATGGTCATTATATTACGTATTGTTGTCTTCAAATTAGATGTTCAGATTACCAAACGTAAGTGTGCAAAACTGGTCCAAATTTTTTTTTTTAGTTTAAGCATTAACTATTCCTTCAGTAGACCAGTAAAAATAAGCGGTCCAATGAATTTGTTCTTTAAATTACACATTTTTAGGGCTGGCCAGCAGACTAAAGTGCCTGCTTAGGCAGAGCGCAGAGGCCAGGCTCGATCCCCAGCACCTGAAGCCGTGCTAGTCCCTGGGCATGCTGGCACGTGCCCGTAATCCCAGCGCTTGGAAGGCTGAAAGCAGGAGGATCACTGCGAGTCTGATCTGTGCAGTGAGACCCTGTACTAAATACATTTTTAAGAAAGTGTTTGGGCTGGGGAGATAGCTCAGTAGAATGGCTGCCTGCCTGGCAAGCGCAGGCTCCTGAGTTTAATTCCTGGTACCACAGAAAAATAAATAAATACATAAATGCAAATGAGCATGGTACCACCATGTAGATAGTAAAACCCAGAAGGTACCACCATCTAGATAGCAAGCACCGAGCACACACTGCCTGTGTTCTTAGCGGTCCAGGTCCTCTGGTTCTACGATCCTTCCAAAGTTACTCTCATGGCACTTTTTTTGTATTTGAGTATAGGGTCTACAGGGTCTCACTACATAGATCGGACTCCTGGTGATCTGCCTCCCAGGAGCTGGGATTGCAGGCGCGCACCACCACATCCAGTTTCAATCACAGACTCGGCGCACCCTGGCCCCTGCGTGTGTCGCGGCACTTCTTTTCTTTTCTTTTCTTTCTTTTTTTTCTTTTTTGTGGAACCAGGGATTGAACTCACGCCTTTGTACTTGCCAGGCAAGTGCTTATTCTATAGAGCTATCTCCCTGGCCCATGGCACTATTTTGAAAGTTGAGTGTTTCAGTTGGAAAGACCTAAGGTGTCTTTGTTAACCAGTAGTCTTTTTTTTTTTTTTT